TGCGGAAGCGCTGGCGGAACGGCAAACAGGAGTTGTGGCGTTGGAACAAGCAAGGGAAGGAGGAAGACCAAGGCAAGCAAGAGAGAGGTAAAGGAGAGGAGCAGCTTGGGGAAGAGGTAGTCCTGGTTCTCACTAGAGTCATAGCCCTCTCCCTTGCCTCCCCTCCTATCTCTCTCCCCCTTCGCTCCTTTCTCTCCCTCACTTCTTCCTTCCTCTCCTTACTCACTTTCGTCATCTCCCCTTAGTCAGACCGGTCGCTTATGAATAAGCCCCGGTTTTTATTTTTATTTTATTTTATTTATTTTATTTTATTTTCGGTGTGTACCATCACCGCATAAAGGTTGCAGTATGTCTGAGCGTACCGCGCTGAAGAACTGATGAGTCGCTGTTTGCCTGTGTGCTCTGTGCCAAGGGGCACCCAGACTGAGTACACCGATTTTTGTTGTGCCAAGGGGCACCCAGATTGAGTACACTGATTTTTGCTGTGCCAAGGGGCACCCAGATCGAGTACGCCGATTTTGGCTGTGCCAAGGGCCACCCAGATTAAGCCATTTTAATGAATTGCGACTGTGCGCACTCAGACTTGAGTGCGACACTAAGCCTTTAATTTGAGAAAGCCATTTTGATGAATTGCGACTGTGCGCACTCAGACTTGAGTGCGACACTGCGCCTTTAATTTGAGAAGTCATTTTGATGAATTGCGACTGTGCGCACTCAGACTCGAGTGTGACACTGCGCCTGTAATTTGAGAAAGTCACTTTAGTGAAATGCAACTGTGCACACTCGGACTTGAGTGCGACACTGCGCTATTAATCTGAGAAAGCAACACTAATGCAATGCGACTGTGCGCACTAAGATTTGAGTGCGGCACTGCGTCCATAATATGAGAAAATCGCTTTTGAAGATACGGGACTGTGCGTCCACACACGCACAGTCCATGTTCCGTTGTTGAGCCTATGATCCGTGCGCCCATGCGTACCCAATCCATTGTTGACCCCGTGATCTGTGCGCCCACGCGCGCTGTTTGGGGAGCCATTTTCAGAACCGGGATACTGCGCACTCACGCGCGCTGTTCCGAGAGCCATTTTGGAGCCGGAGAACTGCACGCTCACGTACTCCTGAGCCTGGATACAGTCCTGATTTGCCACCTGGCAGGCTGGCGCAGCCTGATACAGTCTGGATTTATCACTTGACAGGCTGGTGCTGCCTGATATAGACCCGATCTGTCACTTGGCAGGGTGGCGCAGCCTGATGCAGTCCTGATCCGATACTTGGCAGGCTGGTGAAGTCTGGCGCAGCCCCGATCCGGTGTGTGCCACCCTGGCGCGGTCTGGCGCAGTCTTGCACAGTCCTGATCCGGTCTGTGTCAGTCTGGCGCGGCCTGGCGCAGTCTGTGCAGCATCGATTAAGATTGGAATTGCCATTTGGATATGAGGGATTGCTGATCTCGCCATTGTTCGCCTGTGCGCACTCCACTACTTTTCGGATCCGAGGAACTGTCGACTTTGTCATTGTGCATTCAGATCCGTGTAACCGTCGAGCGTACCATTGCCATTCAGGTCTGTGGAACCGCCGATCGTGCCATTGCCATTCGGATCTGTGGAACAGCTGGTCTTGTCTCTGTACGCCCACGAGCACCTCATTACTGTAACCAGAGAAACGTGTGCACGCGCACACTATGCTTTAAGGGTCATCCTCTGAGTCCAAGGAACTATGCGCTCATGCGCGCTGTATTTGAGGGTCGAATTTGTACTTGCTCTTAGCATCTTGATTTATTGTGCCCGCAGGCACTCAAATTGAGCAAGTCGATTTACTGTGCCCACTGGCACTTCAGTTGAGCATCTTGATTTATTGTG